TTAAGAGCTTGGACCAATACGGGAGTTTGGTGGTAAATATTTTTGTGTTTGTTTGAGGAATGGCTAGATGGGCAGGGGAGCGTATAATTTTTTTTATATTCTACGCTTCTGCATTTATATTCTTTGACGTTATTCTAGTGTTGGTAATTGTGTTAATCAGGGAGCAGTATTTAAGCCAATCGGCTTTTTCTATAAGAAATTTTGATCGCGGTTTAATCGTATATTGCATCGGCGTAATGAAAGACCGCTGTTGTGGAGATCTTCTAATGTGTATGAAGAGAGTTTATGGGCTATGTATGCTAAACAAAGCGCAATGTCTACAAGAGTGAACGATTTGTGTGTAGAGAAGTGAGTTGGTGATCTATCGTTAAGAACTACGAGATTTATTGCTAGTATAATGTCTTCTATTATTTGACCTCTTACCTTAGAGGAAGTGGATCCCCAAAGTGGACTCCAAGCATTGAAATCTCCGATGATTATGCTGGGTGGAGAAACAGCGTTTGTGATATTTATAAGATCACCAGCGTTGAACTTTTGATGCGGAGGGATATAGCATGAGCTTATAGAAAATTTGAAACCAACGTTAAATTCTATCGTAATTACGGAGATGTTTGATAATATTGGGATAATTTTATGTTTGATTTGTTTTTTAATAAATAACGCAATGCCTTGTTTAGATGTTTTATTTTGTGGTAAATTATGAAAATGTCCGATGTGTTTGTGAGGCGTATACGCCGTTTTGTTTAGGTGAGGTGAGTTTCCTGTAATGCAATAATTTCTAGTGAATATTCGTTTATGAGTAAATTTAAGTCTGGGTAATAGTTGAATAGACCTATCATATTCCACTGAAGAATTCTCATGATCTATTCTGTGGTGGGGTTTTTGGTAGGTAACAGAGTGCCGAGTGTATTACTGAGTTGGCTTATCAAGCTGGAGTGAGGTTGTTGTAGAGTAATCAAAGGGAGTTGTGGATGAGTCATCGACTGCACTTGTTGTTGAGAGAGAGTACGTTGAATTTTTTGCGTTTACTATGGTTGTTTTATTTTCAATATTTGTGCTATATGTTTTAGAGTGAGAATTTGCTGAATTTTCTGTGGGGGTTTTATTTTCGTTGCTTCGTTGTTCGTGTATTATTTTAGAGTTAGATGGTGAAGATGAAATAGAAGTAGAAGGAGAGATTTGCGCTCCTCTTTGGGTATTTTGTTTATTATTAGAGAGTTCTATGTTTGTCGGATTGTTAGGTATGTTAGCGAATGAAGGAGATGTAGAATTAAAATGATGTGGTATATGTGCTTTTTGAATATTTACTGCTTCGCGAAAACGGCATTTATTATCTGTTTGAATTGTTATTATTTTTTTTATTTCGCTGAACTTTGGACACAATTTAATTGAGGCGGTGTGTTCAGCAGAACAATTTACACAGAGAGTGCGGGGTTGTGTGTTGGAAATGCACATGTCTCGCAGATAGGGATCTTATTGCAGCGTTTTTTTGCATGGCCAAGAAGTTGGCAGTTTTTGGATCTCATTGGGTTTGGGTAGTAGTGTCCTACTTTGGTTGTATACCATGATACATCAATTTTTTCGGGTAAGTAGTAGCGATCGAAGGTTAAAAGACGCCACTTGGTGTGCGTAGACCATTTATATATTTTAAAAATTTGTTAGTGGATGTAACACCCTGATCTTTGAAAATTTCAATTATTTCATTATCAGAGACTTGATTTAAACACGGAGCGTAGATAGTGCCTTTTGAGGAGTTTAAATTTTTATGTAGTTCAATTTTTACATCACAAATACCAATGAGGTGTTTTGTTACTGTGAATTTTTTTGCGATATTGCTATTTTTTTTACTAGGAGTAGTAAATTGCCGTCTTTTAATTCACTAATTTTTATTATGTCAGAACTAATATGTTTTACGGCTTTATGCACAGCGAAGCATGAAAATTTATTTAAAGGTTTGCTTGTTTCACTTGAACTTACCAAAACATACTTAGGGCTATCTTTTTTTGTTGTTGGTAAAGTAGGAAATAATTCATCCTTCGATAATTGCTCCATTTTTTTCTTTCTTTTTGGTTGGGGGCTAGAAGATAATAGGGCGAACCTATTATATTCTAAAGGGGGCACTAAAATTCACTAAAAAATTTGAGAGAATAGAGTGAGATGAGGAATGAGATAGTAAACTATTCTGAATTCGCAGACAATACAATTGAGAGCACAACCGTTTGCGTTGAGTGTCAGTCGATGACCTTTGTATATTAAATTGGGCTTAATGAAGGCTTTTTTTAAGGCAATGGACAGAAATGGAAGAGGGTTCTTGTATCTGAAACAAAAATTTCCAAGAGTCAGTGAAGCAAAAATTAAGGAGGGCATATTTGTGGGTCGGGATATAAGAGAACTAATGCAAGAAAAAACATTTGAGAAAATGCGCAATGAAACTGAAGTGCCTTTAAACGTGTTGTTTAAAATTTTCTTGGAAATGTGAAAGCTGGCAATTACAAAGATCTTGTGACTGAACTACTTACAGCATGTAAGAAAATGTGTTGCAACATGTCCCTTAAGATTCCCTTTCTGGATTTTTTCCCCGAAAATTTAGGGACTCTTTCGACTGCTTCTTAAAGAATGCATTAAGCTAAAAACAGAAACAGAAGAAATGACTTTGTACGAGAATAAATTATAAATTAATTTTTTTTTATTTGGCTTTGTAAACTATTTTCTACAATTTGTTTTAGATTTTGTTCAAATTCTTCAACTATATAGTAAAACATTGTTTAAAACTCAACAAAGATTTTTTTCAACCGTGGGGGGAATTCAAACAGTCTTTCGTCGAGTGAAAAATCTTTCATTCTATGAGAAGTGTTTCATTCTACAAGAACTATTTTAGTCTGATTTAATTTAGAGTTTTCACGTATTTATATATAATTTTAAGAATGTATGTATGTATGCATGTTCATATGTATTATATGTAGCACATTGTTTATGCTACATGGTATAGGGTTGTTTTCAAGTGCACATGCACATTTGTATTCAATTGCCTAAATGCATATCTTAGGTCAATATCTTATCTTAAGTAAATATGTTTGCTTATTAATTATTGAGTGCATACATGTTACATATAAATGCATACGTTCCTCATATAAATATATGTATCCTTATGCGTTTGTTTATATATTTGCTTTGTACTGCCTCAGCATTGGCGAAGATAAGCCTGTTCAATATATTTGAGCATATTGCCGAGGGAAAAGGTAATTATTCAATATTAATGGAGTGCTTTTAAAATAGTGAGAATTACACACTTTCATACATGTGATTCTTGACAAAAAAGTGAGTACGAGTTCGTAAATGCTATTAATCGAAAACGTATAAACTGTCATAACTAAGTACTAACTTATAGTTTGGTACAGAGAATTGCGAAGACAAGGCGCACCGGTGAACTGAAAGTTTTGAAAAATGGGGCTGCTAATAAGTTTAATCTATGTACATACATATCTCCTACACCACCAATTCGCTTAGAGCAAATATCATAAGAGCTCAGCTATCAGTCTGAGAATGTATGATCTCGGAGTTTATCCCTAACTCCCCATATAACGATTTTGTTAAAAACTACTAAAAGAGCGATAAATCACTCAGGATAATACAAAAAGGCTTTATGGGAGTCGGGGTCAAAATCGGTCGATGGTCGTTGTACCACCCACATTTATGAGAAAATACATACCTCGGGACCTACTGCTCGGATTTCATATAGCCGTGTTAAAATTGGCGAAATCAGATAAAAATTATACCTATTTCCTGCATAACAAAACTTTAAACTCCATATGATTATTCCATTTTTCCATATTCCATATTCGGATAAAACATTGTACAATAATGCCTATGGCTGACTTCTTGTCATATATGTGAGATATATTTGTGAAGTATAGAAAAATAATAACATACTCTCCGAAAATAGGGCTGAATCGGATCAATACTTCCCTTATCCCTCATGTAGTATATCTAATATAAATATATCTAATATAAATTTTCGAACTTTTACTTTATACCGTATTTATCGGCTAATATGTAAGTTATCTTAGTGAAATCGAGAGAGCATGTTATACTAATAATAATATATCTTTGTCCTCACAATTTATCGAATCGGGTTAAAACAGCCTTAATCGCCATATAACTGATATTCAGGACTTTGAAAGTCCAGCTGACTTTACTCCATATATTCATATATTTTCAGATTTATATATATATATATAAAATTACTTGAAAATAAGTTCTCAAGAATACCTGAGCAATCAAACATTTTTGCAATCAGACCTTCCATTTCTATGCTCCAAATGATTTTAGTAAAACTTCCGCTGACGGGAAGTAAAATATTGTATAATAATAAAACTTAGTGATTGTAATCCATTCACCATTTCGTCGAACAACGCTACAATTTTAACATTGCCAACACCGGAAGGTATTTAGACACTCCCTTGATCCTGAAAGTTGCAAGAGTATAAAATGTTCGGTTACACCCGAATTTAGCATGATTTGTTAATTCTTATATTTAGCGTTCGAAAATAATTAACATTCTTGAAATGATAAGCTTAACAATTAAACGGTTTTCGAAGATGTTCTTATATCTGCCAACTGCCGCCCATATAGACCTTTAGAATCACATAGAATACTACACACACTCATAAAGCTTGTGAATGACTTGTTATCCATTCGATATTTTCAACCATTTTAATTCCTTACTAACTCATACACATAAGTTTCATTAACACAGAAGTAAGCAAAGCAATAAATTGCTGTATTATACTGTTAATTTAATCTTGAAACTATGGAATTCTGTACTCATTCTATTGACGTCTAAATTGTTTTATCATTAGGCTTTGCAATAAAATCGGTCGCCTCAAGTTTCACGTTTTATTTTATAACTTTCGCGGTATCTGTCTTATGACACACTCTATGCGGACAGCAAAAGCAAGCCATTTTGGAATAAACGCAATATTAGTTTAATTTAACGTTTCAAGCAGCATAGTCGCATTTCACTTGGAATTAAAATTAAAATGGATAAAAAAAATACGGCCCCCATCGATGCTGAAGTTAAAAATGATCGTAAAAATTGGTCTGGAAAATTGGATTTTTTAATGTCTTGCATATCCGTATCAGTTGGTTTGGGTAATATATGGAGGTTCCCATTCATCGCATATGAAAATGGCGGAGGAGTTTTCCTGATACCATACATAATTATACTGTTTCTTATTGGTAAGCAGTGAAAACCCTTAACAATTAGTCTGATAAATTCATTTTTGCAAGTGCCCCACTTATTCTTGAAGAGACTTCAGCAAAAACTTTGATTAGATCAAGTGTTAAAATTTTTTGTTTTACGAGAAAAAATTGAAAGTGATCAAAACGGTGTGAAAAATCTGTAAATGTAATTTCGAGAATAAAACTGATATCATTCGCTCTTTTATCGTATCTCCTCGTCTCAACTTATTAAACAAGACATTTTGGTTAAGTCCGACATCGGCATCTTTGAAATTTAAAACCCAATAATTCCACACATAGTCGGTTTATTATTAAACATTTGTTTTTGCTAAATCACGTATTTCATTGAAGCTATCTGTAAATGTAACGCGTCACGTTTTCTCCGGGGTAAAATTCCTAATCTACTCAACCGATTTCAGTAAAATTTAACACAGTTTGTCCAGTTGATCCAACTTAACAGATATCTTAGGGGGGAAGGGCTAAGTTCAGGTTTAACCGAACATTTTATACTTTTGTAATTTTTTAGGATCAAAGTTAACGAAATACCTGAAGATGCAAAACTCAGAGGATACTTGGTCAAGGACCGGAAGTCGTGAACTGATTGAGCCATATGTAAAATAATAATTTCTGGCTACTCCCAAGTGAATGGCAATCAGAGATCCTTCCTCACTTGACCTTCTATACATGACTCCATCGACTACGCTGGCAAGGTCATGTCGTACATTGGATGAAACACTCCAACGATTGTCGCGCTGTTGTTAACTCGGCTATAATCTCCTAAGCGGTGCCTACGACAGTAAAGAAGAAGAAGAATATATACATATGTAATTCATACACACTTCGACATATTCGACATAATGTTTGTTAGAAAACGAAAATTATTTGGCGTGAGCTTTATTACGGTGCTTCTCATACTATCTCCAATCACATGGAGTAAAGTTACCCCGATGTTATATATTTTAACATAGGGGACAGGTCGAGTTTTTATGCGGTATAAAGTCACTTGGAAATTTGAAAATCGTATCTAGGTATATCTATATATACTATCAGGAAAGGATTATCTGAATTTTAATTATGTATCTCACACATTGACCAATATTTGCGGGATAAAGTCGTCTATAGGTACTGGGGTTGAAATATTGGATTCCTAGGGGCTTCAACAGTTTTATCTGAATTTGGACAATTTTAGATCATAATTTTTATTTCATTCTCCATTGAGTTATAAAATGTATAAGAAATAAAAAATGTTCCCAAAAATAATCAAATTTCAACCGTTAAAAACGGTTGGGTTTACGAAAAAATCGTATGAGACCTTTTTTGTAGAGCATTCAATTTCCTACAAAATCTAAGGAACAAAATATTTTTTGAAGTGGTTGGAAGCGAGATATAAATTTTTCTATCTTATAATAAGAAAAAATAGAAAACTGTAAGTAGTTCCCGTTACAATTAAGAACTCATTCTTAGAGAGGCTTCCTTAGAAGTGTCTAGGAGCCTATTTTTCAGAGTACCAAACGAAAAAAAAATTTTTTTTTGAATCACCCTACTATATATATTTATAAACATTTGAAATATATACATATGTAAAAATTAAGAATGTGCACAAACATAATATAAATACGCCAAATAGAATATTCGTTATTTTTGCCACTAACAAATATTTATATCAATAATTTTAAAAAATGAAACCACAAGTATACTCCTTTAAATTCTAATGCAGGCAATAACGTTATTGCCTTAATTCGGAAATAAATTTTTTTCTGTAATCCAACTATTCAATAATAGTTTATTGTAATAGTATTTAATGTGGTATACAGCAACGCGAGGTCGAATCAATTTAATATACATATGTTTAAATTATTAATAGGTAAACCTATGTACTACATGGAAGCTCTTTTGGGCCAATTTGCCAGTAAAAGTTCCGTGAAGATGTGGTCTGCTTGTCCAATATTTATGGGTGCGTATTCAAAAATTTTCCATAAATTATTCATTGTGGAACCTAATACTGATGCACCTTTAGGAGTGGGCATTGGGCAGGCAATAGCAACGTTTGCCGTATTGACATACTATTCGGCTTTAATAGCCGTAACTATTTATTATTTCATCGCATCTTTTCAATCGCCCTTGCCATGGGCGTATTGTAGGGAAGACTGGCTAAACTGCGTCGGCGCTAGTCTCTCAAACAGTGAAAATGTTAGCTCAAGTGAAAAATTACAAAGCAGCTCCGAGTTGTATTTCAGGTAAATAATATTTTGTTGGTATATTTTTTAATTACTTAAATATTTAAAATTAAAATAAAGAAGATTGAGTAAATGAAAATACTTTTAGTAAAACTGTTTTGAGAGAATTTGACGATATATCTGAAGGGATTGGAATTCCTAGCTGGCGACTTATATTAACTCTTTTGCTTTCTTGGATAGTTACATATTTAATTTTAATAAAAGGCATGAGAAGTTTGGGAAAGGTTGCATACTTTTTGGCGATATTCCCCTACGTAATCTTAATAACATTGCTAATAAGGGCAGTGACTTTAGAGGGGTCTGTTGACGGAATTATATATTTTCTAAAACCTGAATGGAATAAATTGCTTAATATGAAGGTATGAAAATTGTTATGTATGGTAAGCATACTAAGTGTTAGTATGATTTGTAAATATTTCAATAGTATTTCAAACATTTCATTATATCTATGTGATTAGAATCATAAAATAGTTTGTAATGTTAATTTGTTAAATACATGCACATACATATATATACAATATATAAATAGGTTTTCGACATCTTTCTCAAGTATGTATTACTGTTCAAAGGAATTTCATAATTTAATGATTGTATAATTATTCTTGATAAATTTCAGGTGTGGAAAGAAGCAGTAGTTCAGTGTTTCTTTTCTTTAGCTGTTTCTTTTGGACCGATTGTTGCCTTTTCGTCACATAATCAATTTCGTTACAAGGTGTACAGGTAAAAACTGATATTGATTGATAATACTTTTTGATAGTATACCCTATAAAAATGTTCCTTTTAGAGATGCTATGATTGTTACAACGTTGGACACCATTACATCTCTTGTGGCTGGCATTACTATTTTTGGAATATTAGGAAATTTAGCACTTAACCTGAATGCACCAAATATTAGAGAGGTGGTGCGTAGTGGCACTGGATTGGCATTTATTTCATATCCTGATGCAATTGCTAAATTCAATTTTGTACCTCAAGTGAGTTTAAACACTGATTTCTAAACAAATCGATTGCATGTATATATACATTCAAACTTATAAACTCATTCTTGGCTGATCTTTAGTTTTAGTGCGAAACACAATTAGTGTCAGAGAGTTATTATGGAATATAAATTACAATTTAAAAATGTAGTAATTTTATATCATAATTTTGTAGAGGGATACGCCGTTAAATAGATTTAATGTCCATGTCTCGCAATACACAAAATTTTGGCACCTCTTTATATATTGTAAAAATAGATCAAATCTGAAAATAAATACGCCCACTTCTAATACAATGGCTATGTAGGAAACGAGTTGATGCGAAGAGGCTTCATAGGACACGGTATAAAAATTGAAAAATGGGATCTTTAGAAGAAATCCAAGTTTAATTTGTAACTTTATTTCCCTAGCATACAATTCTATCTGTTATATCACTCAATAGTAAGATATCTTAGCAAAGTCAACAAGTTATATTATATTGATGGTATCTAAGATGTGTGAACTTGGTTCACGAAATATCCCAGCTTCTATATATCATAAGTGACTGTCACATTTATACAATTGCGCGAAAACGTGAGTCGACGTAATCAGCTTTTATCTTCAGCTAATCCCAATATACCAATGCAATATAGTGATTTCCAACCCTATCGACTTTCCGTTGAATTGTTTGTGTTAGTTGATTTGATAAAATTAAGAGGATTTCATAATTTGCGATAACACTGTATATTGTAATCTCAATCTGATATAAGCTACTCGATTGCTTTCAACATGTTGCTACAGAGTATAATAGTTTTGTTTACCTTGTTTGTATCACCTAAAACTAATCAAAATAGATACAGCACCTGCGTTCTGAAAAATTTGATGCTTCTCTATTCTTTCACTTAAGAGTATACAATTCAAGAAGCTATTAATATAATGGGAAGAAACGTGCAAGAATATTACTTTCAAAGCATGTCACTTTATGATCAAAAATTATCTAAATCCAACTAAAATTCTTCACTCCAGTACCTATAGTTGACTTTTGACCGTAAATACGAGTATCGGTCAAAATGTGAGATATGTATATTATAATTGAAATTCAGGGACTATGCTTTTCTGTTAACAGTATCTCGAACGTCAAAAATGGGTTGAATCGAGTTAGGAAGTATTGTCTCATATACCCAATACAATGATTTCCGAATTTCTAGGTGACTGCATATATCGGCCAATATGAAAATGAGAGAGCGTGTTTTACTCATAACACTGTATCTTCATGCCTAAAATGGATAAAATTTGCAAAAACGTAACCTAGCCAATAATCAGGATTTTCGAACATCAGAATGGTAATTACATGTGAGGTATTTTATTTTTTTTTTCACACAAATTTCAAGAAGGTGGGCTGCTCGATAAGCGTTCTCACTTGTTAAATTTGTGCACTCTAAATATACTGCAAGTATATACGTACATATTTCAGATGTAGTTAAGCATGCTAACTAGAACAAAGCAAATAATTCTACTTTAAAACGATTAAAACGAACGAAAAATTATTTTGCAAGCATTCATTGAAATATTGCGAATTATTTCACAGGTTTTAATATCATACAAATTTGTTCGTTAGTGTTCTTACTTGCAATACTCTCGCCATACATACATACATATATTGCACTAGATTTGTATTGTACTCGAACTTAAGATCACAATTCAACTTCAGTTATCCGTATAGTAATACGTACTTAAATTTATTATCTGCAAAATATACCTTCTTCCATTTCATAAATTAAGAAAATATAAATTTTTAATGCCGAAAAGCTTTTTTCGGTATTATTTTTTTTCATGCTTTTTGTTCTCGGGATCGGCACCTTAGCGGCACTACAAAGTGCTTTAGTGACAATTATCTGTGACCAATTCAAATTAAAAAGGTTCTGGCTTGCTTCATTGATAGCAACAATAATCGAATTTGGCATTAGTATATTATATGTGACGCCGGTGAGTTGCACTTTAATCATATCTAATAAACCAATTATAATTAGATAATTTGTGTGTGTGGATTTCAATTTATTAGGGTGGACAATGGATTCTTAATCTTGTGGACTATTTCGCTGGAACTTACATAGTATTCTCTCTAGCAGTTTTTGAAATAGTCGGTATAACATGGTTCTATGGTACGAAAAGTATTCGTTTTGAATAGATTTATCTTTTAACATGTATGTAACATTAGACCTACAATTATTTTCCGCATATACAAATCTTCAAACTTGTACAAATATACATACGTACTTGTATAATTTCATTAAAATAAGTATATATGGATGTATATGTAGGTTTGCGTAACTTCTGTGATGACGTGGAATTCATGACCAACCGAAAAGTGTCCATTTACTGGCGACTTTGTTGGGGCATAATAACTCCATTACTATTGGCGGTCATTTTTATATATTCACTTGCGGTCATGGAACCTTTAACATATGCAGGGTGGTCATACCCCACTTCTGCCGAAAGTAAGTGACTTATATGTATGTTTAATGTAGTAGAACTTTTTCTGATTTTTTATGTTTTTACCATAATCATGCCTTTCAAATGAAAAGATATACACTTATAATGTCTCGTACATGAAGAATGCATTCATATTTATCATTGCAGTTGTCGGCTGGATATTACTCTTAATTGGATTTCTTCAATTTCCCTTGTGGGGTATTTGGTACTTATATATTCATAAAGAAGCTACCTTTAAAAGAGTAATTATATAAAATTAAATTGTTTTATATATAAACATTCACGTTAATGTAAGAATTGTTTACATTTTAGACAATAACAATATCGATATCTCCGAGTCAGAAGTGGGGCCCAACAGATCCAGAAATATATGTGGAATGGCTGCAGCACAAGGAATCTCTAAAGAGGTTGCGGGAAGCAGAGAGAAATGAAAAGGAGCTTAGCAAGTTTAAACAAAATATTTATTATCTAATAGGCATATCGAAATAAAGTTGATAAATGGCAATATAATGAGTAATCTTCGATATGCATATATATGCATGGTTTTTCAAATAAGGTTGGTATGATTTATTTAAAACAAAACAAAAACACTAATTGTTAAGGAAATTCAAATGTTGTTTTTTTTTTTTTTTGTTCAGTACAATCGATACAATTATGTTTTGAATATAACATCACTCAAATGGGCTTCACGATTTCTTTTGCAGGAACGAATTCGATGAATCAAATTTTTGAGTACTTTTTCCACTAAATCAAACCGTCTGTCATAATATCACGTTCAATATCGACTCCTAAAGCTTGAAGAGAATCTGGTATATTGCTAAAGACCAATAACTTAAAAAAATCGAGTAATGAAGTGTCTAATGGTGTTTAATCACAACACTATCACAATTTCTTGAAATAATCGAAGCTCCAAACTTTTCTCGCAATCGGACCTAAATAGTTATCATCGATTAATACCGCTCTTCATTGACAGCAACGGTCTAACCAGCTTCATTTCGAAAGAAGAGTGGATCGATGATTCCACCAGACCAAAAAATACAACAAACTGTCAATTTAAGTGAATGTAATGATTGTTCATGAATAATTGTTTGGATCCCTTCTCGAACTCGGCCAGGTGTTGCGTTAAGACAGTCCCAATTCTTCAGATTATTACCTACCACTTATTCTATTAATTTATGCCTTTTTAAAATTAATCTGCTTGCCTGCTAGTCTGACCTGTGCTGAAAGTGAGGGAGGGGAGATAAATATCCATTTTAGTCACTGTTAATTTAATATGTTTATTTACCATACTACGATTTGAAAAAACTAAACATCAAGGTATCGTTATACAAATATTGTGTCATGTTATCTTGTTTACTATGATGACTTAATTAAATTGAAAATTTTTTGGCATAACTGTTTTATTTTTCCTTCGTTGTTTCGTGTTGCTCTCTCTTGTGCACATTTTTCTTTGAATGCAATCCAATCCCGTCTATTTTTTTCTTTAGAAGGACCCCATTTAGGACTTGATCTGATAGATGAACGAATTGACTAGAATTTTAAAATATAAAATTTGTTCCTTGTATGTTTTAATAATATGCATACATATATGATTGTGCTCGAAAACTTACATTCCATATTCCTTCATTCCTATGAGTAGAAATACTCCATATAGCCCAGAGAGGAAATTGAGCCATTCCAATCGTAAATAGAATCCATCCAGAAACTAAAATATAACAAGAAAATCTATAACCAAAGTATTGTGCTGGGTTCATGTTAAGTGTTAAAGTTTAAGATGTACTCATAGGTATATTACAATATATTGGGTAGTTTTTTTTTATTTTGCCAATAGATGTCGTTGCAGTTATAAAAGGTTACAGTTGTTCAAAAATTGGTGAAAAGAATAAAGAAATTCGCTATAGAGTATTGTAATTTTTGTATAACAACGCAATCAATCGAAAAAAATGGCCAGAACAACAGAATCAACAGAAAAGACTTGGTCTTCCATCAGGATAACTCTAGATGACTTGGCAAAAATTCGGAGAGCTTGGCTGGGAAGTTTTGATGCATCCACAATATAGCCCTGACGTTGCACCATTGGACTACCATTTGTTCCGGTCAATGCAGAACTCCCTTAATGAAGTAATGTTGGCTTCAAAAGAAGCCTGTGAAAATTACTTGTCGCAGTTTTTCGCCGAGAAACCAAAAAATGGCAAAAAGTGGTCGGTCAAAATGGTTACTATTCGAAATTGTAATTAATCACTGAAATGAAAACAAAACAAACTCGAAAATTGGAGTTATGGTTTGATGTACCATGGTTGTTCAAATATCTTTAAACAGGCTTGTCGTAGATAATATTGAGTCAGTACAAAACGTACTTAGCGTACAAAATATAAACAATCGTTATTATGTGTTTACATGCAATACTCATTAATTTAACAATCATGAATACAAATAGTATTGTTAGCTAAATGTATGTATGTATGTATGTAAAAATAAATTCATATACCTGTAGTCTCATCACACATATGTATGTATGTGTACGCACATGCATTGAGTTGTACAATTAAAAACAACCCTATGTCGTGTGTCACTATATACATATACACAAGCATACATATATTTGATTGAATAAGTAGAATTAAAAATTATATAAAAACAAGAAAAAATGTTAACTTCGGTTGCACCGAAGCTAAATACCCTTCACAGTTGCATTTCTGTTAATAACTATGTGTTCAGTTTGTATGGAAGATATATGCTATAGTAATCCGTTCTGAACAATTTTTTTGGAGACTATATTGTTGCCTTAAGCAGTAATCCATGCCAAATTTAGTGAAGAGATGAAGTCAAATGCGAAAGTTTTCCATACAAGAACTTGATTTCGATCGTTCCGTTTGTATGGCAGCTATATACTATAGTGAGCTGATCTGAACAATTTATTCTGATATTACATTATTTCTATAAACAATAACTCATACCGAATTTCGTGAAGATATATCGTCAAGTGAGAAAGTTTCCCATTCAAGCATGTGATTCTGATCATTAAGTTTGTATGGCTATGTTATAGTAATCCGATCTTTCCAATTTCTTCGGATATCACATTGTTGGCTTAAAAAATAATCTACACCAAATTATGTGAATATATCTTTTCAAATACAAAAGTTCTCCATATAACAACTTGGTTCCGATCGTTCAGTTTGTATGGCAGCTAAATGTTATAGTGGTCCGATATCGGCAGATCCGACAAATGAGCAGCTTCTTGAAGATAAAATGATGTTTACAAAAGCGATATCTTAAAAACTGAGGGACTAGTTCGTATATATACAGACAGACGGACATGGCTAAATCGACTCAGCTCGACATACTGATCATTTATATATAGTATATACTTAATAGGGTCTCCGACGCTTCCATCTGGATATTATAAACTTCGTGACGAACTTAATATACCCTGTGCAGGGTATAATTAGAATGAAAATATTTTCATTTAATATTAGTCTTTTTTATCTCCCACTAGGGGTAAGTTATTAAAGAAACTGTATTTAGTTATTAACAATGGCTTTATCTGGATTCAGATTACAGAAGGTTCTATGGACCAATCTATATACATATGTATGTATATAAAAGGTAATGTTTTCGTTGTAATTTTATAACCTAAGAACGATCTCACCTAACCAAACCAAATGCACTATTTAGTAGATGATTTATGTGAAGTTTAAGTTATCCCTTTTTTTGTAACAAATGAATCGAAAATCTATACATAAGTAGATGCTATATATCTTCTTCTTCTTGATTGGCGTAGACACCGCTTACGCGATTATAGCCGAGTTAACAACAGCGCGCCAGTCGTTTCTTCTTTTCGCTACGTGGCGCCAAT